TCAGTGTGGAGGTTTATCCAGTGGGGGGGGGGGGTATATCCACAATATGATTGAGGGGGAGTGTACGCATCAGTGTGTATGTGTGTGAGTGTATCCATACTATTCGTATGGAGAGTGTATCCATAATATCTGTGTGTGAGTGTTGGGGGTATATCCATAGAAACAGTATGGGGGTGTATACCCATACTCTCTGTACAGGGGTGTACCTATACTATCAGAGAGAGGGAGTATTATCCATAGTATCAACGTGGGGAGGTTTAAAGTTACCCCGAATTTCGATTGTCTAAAATTATATTAAAAATAACGTGTTTATTTTTTATTTTTGTATGCCCGTACATTCTAGAGTGGCTCTAGATTGGGTGTCAGTCGGGGCGCTCCCCCCCCCTCTTTCGCCCTACATGGCGACGCCTCTGCGTAAAATCACCATCAATGTAGCGTTGCTTCAGCAGTGCTGGAAATTAATTTATTCTAGCAGATTGTATGTTTATTTCGGAAATGGATTAGGGCGCAAGAAGGAGATCGAAAACGAAAAAAAAATTATTACGTTATTATCGATACTTGACCTTGACCTTGCGATAACCTTGACCATCGGGTTCGGAGTTTGCGGATGAACGAGCTACACATAGCGGAAGTCTGGCATCAACTCTGGAACCAATCACTCGTCATTCCCGCACGTGCCAGACAGACACTGGTCTCGTAGTCTAGGCCTCAGATAATTAGAGCGCCGAGAAAAATTTTGTTTACAGATCTAATTACCGGAAGTTATCATTTAGCGTGTTAAAAATTTGTAAGTGTGTTGGTGTCAGTTTTTGTGGTAGTTAGTGTCGAATTTGGTGTGTGTGTTTGTGTGTGTGTATGTTCTGTTTTAGTGGTTTTTAGTGTCGGATTTGGTGTGTGTGTGTGTTGGTGTCAGTTTTTGTGGTAGTTAGTGTCGAATTTGGTGTGTATGTGTTCTGTTTTTTTGTGGTAGTTAGTGTAGAATTTGGTGTTTGTTGGTGTCAGTTTTTGTGGTTGTTAGTGTAGAATTTGGTGTGTGTTGGTATCAGTTTTTGTGGAAGTTAGTGTAGAATTTGGTGTGTGTTGGTGTAAGTTTTTGAGGTTGTTAGTGTAGAATATGGTGTGTATGTGTTCTGTTTTTGTGTTTTTTAGTGTCAGATTTGGTGTGTGTGCGTGCATGTGTGTGTGTGTTCTGTTTTAGTGGTTTTAGCGTCCTATTTGGTGTGTGTGTATGTGTTCTGTTTTTGTGGTTTTAGTGTCGGCTTTGGTGTTTGTTGATATGTGTTTGTGGTTGTTAGTGTCGAATTAGGTGTGTTTTGTCATGTTTTTGCAGTTGTTTCTGTCAAAGTTGGTGCTTGTTGGAGTCAGTTTCTGTGGTTTATAACGTTGCTGATCTTGTTATCTAGAAGAACTATCGCCATTAATACATTATATATCTTTCAGGTTGGTGATAATAAAATTCATTCTTATACATTAAAAATTGGCCCATAAAGTTTATAAACTTTTTTAAAGCTACATAGTTCTGCTATTTTTGTTTACATTTTCTATGATAAAATGTAAAAAAAAAAAATTGCTTTTGGCAATGTAAATTGTTTTGTTATGTTACCAAAAATTCTAAAAAATATTAAATACATCAAATCTTTAGTAAATTTCTAAAAAATAAATTTAAAAACCAAATTTTTATAACCATATTGATTTTAATAACATCGGGGATGATTTGTTTTACATACTTAATGGGCCTTTCGAATAATTTTGAGACTAGTCTCGGTTGTGTCCATTGTAACAGGCCCATAATTGTTTAAAACATCGTCACAAAGTAACAAGCTTGAGTCAACAATGAACAAAACAAACACAGACAAAGTGTCAATGTTCGTCACAATTTTTGGCTGAGTTCATAGGTCGATCCAACTGGTGTATAGGGTTGTTTGCCTTAAAGGGGCGATAGGTCATTAGCATAGAGAAAGCGTTCACTAGCTGGGACCAGATATTTACTAGCTAGCATCGTAGGTTGTTGGCTGAGATCAAACAGTCGCTGGCTGACCCAGTCGCTAGCTGGGTCAAACCGCTACTAGCTAGGGTCAAATAGTCGCTGGCTGGAGCTAAATAGTCGCTAGCTGGAGCTAAATAGTCGCTAGCTGGATCTAAATAGTCGCTAGCTGGAGCTAAATAGTCGCTAGCTAGAGCTAAATAGTCGCTAGCTGGAGCTAAATAGTCGCTAGCTAGAGCTAAATAGTCGCTAGCTGGAGCTAAATAGTCGCTAGCTGGAGCTAAATAGTCGCTAGCTGGAGCTAAATAGTCGCTAGCTGGAGCTAAATAGTCGCTAGCTGGAGCTAAATAGTCACTAACTGGAGTTGTTACTTGCGACAGTTACCTGGGAACATGACGGGCAACAGATTAAAGGCTTTCGGGAAGGGAAATGTATGCAAACAGCGGTGATCAGTGGATCCATTTTGTGTTGGTGTGGTAAGTCGGTGAAGGCTTGCCGTCAAATATTGTCGTATCGGTCCCATCTGGGTGTGTATGGTGGGGTCACAGGGCAGGGGTCAGACCGTCAAATATCGTCGTGTCGGTCCCATTTGGTTGAGTATTCATTTGGTGGGGTAACAGGGCAGGGGTCAAGACGTCAAATATGGTCGTGTCGGTCCCATCTGGTTGTGTTTGGTGGGGTTATAGGGCAGGGGTCAAACAGTCAAATATTGTCGTGTCGATCCCATCTTGTTGTGTATTTATTTGGAGGGGTCACAGGGCAGGGGTCAAGGCGTCAAATATTGTCGTGTCGATCCCATCTTGTTGTGTATTTATTTGGAGGGGTCACAGGACAGAAGTCAAGAGATGGATTGATACGTATGGATTGGTGTTAGTGAGGGTTAGGATAAAAGAGAATTTCGGTAGGGTAGAGATAGAGTTAGTGAGGATGAAGGTGGGGGTGGTTTAGGGTAAGATGATGGGGGTGGTGTATGACAAGGGATAGTTAAAGGCGGAGGTGAGGTTGTGTGATTAGGAGTGGTTTGAAGATATAAATGGGGGTGGGGTAGGCTAAGTGTGTTCTAAAGATTGTGGTGGTGTATGGTGTATGGTTTATTGAAGGTGAATTCGAGAATTGGGTTATGGGTGGGGGTGGGTTGAAGGTGTATTTGAGAATTGGGATATGGGTGGGGATGGGTTGAAGGTGTATTTGAGAATTGAGATATGGGTGGGGGTGGGTTGAAGGTGTATTTCAGAATTGGGATATGGGTGGGGATGGGTTGAAGGTGTATTTGAGAATTGAGATATGGGTGGGGTTGGGTTGAAGGTGTATTTGAGAATTGAGATATGGGTGGGGGTGGGTTGTAGTTGGATGTGAGAACTGGGTTATGAGTGTGGGGGTGGGTTGAATGTGGATGTGAGAACAGGGTTATGAGTGTGTGTGTGTGGGGGGGGGGGCTTGAAGGTGGATATGTATGGCCAGTGTTTCTTCCAGACTTTTTTCTCCGGGGGGGCACTTGAAATTTTCGGGGGGGCGGTAGACTTTTTTCGGGGGGGCGGACACTGTTAAAAGTATATATTTTCTATATAAATTATATAAATTTCATTTCGTTCGGGGGGGGGGGGCGGTAAAATATTTTCGGGGGGGTGGGGGCTTCGCCCCCCCCCCCCCCCCCCCCGAAGAGATGCCTGGAAGAAACTCTGTGTATGGCTTGGTGGGTAAAAGATGAGAGGTTGTACTATATGGCTATGGGTTAGTTGGAAGTAAAGGTGGAGTAGAGCTAGAGGTTAGATAAAAAGTTAGCCTAGTGTTGTGGTAGTTTTAGTGGTGTGTTGATGAATTAAAATGAAAATTGCTGTGGTTGGGGTGTATTGGAGAATATGGGTTTGAGGGTAGGGCAAGGGAGGTAAGATAAGCCAGAGATGATTAAAGTTTGTGGGGACTTATTAATTTTTTTTTTCTTAATTCTTCAAAACTCTTCAAGCCAAATTGTTAAAACAATTATTTCACGAAAATATTAGCAAAATTATATTCTCTCCTCTGTGTTGCTTGGTTTCAATTAAGTTCAAACTTCGTTTAAATTTTACGCGAATGGTTTTTTTCCCCTTATCGGTAAATAAATCAGCGAGCATGAAAAACTTGAAGGTCATGTTGACCTTATAATCTATTTTTAGTCCGGTCGTTAGGTAAACGGCCACCTCGTTGTCTGCAGGGTGCCTTTCATCTTTTCACATCTATTTATAGCACACATGATTTACTGCACATCGCATTACAGCACACTATTTGCTTCGTTATTTTTGTTTTGTTGATCGGAAGAAAGAAAAAAATTAAATCGTTCTTTATAAATTATATTGAAAGCCTAGACTGCTTTTAGTACCTAAACATAATTTTATAAAAGTTTAAACAAAATTTAGTTTTAACACATTTTTCATTAATTACCTTTTTTTTTTACAAATTTCATGACTATAAAATATATATTTATACTTTCATACGTTACACAGGGCGACCAATACCCTACAGGTTCAGGGTTCGAATACCGTTTACACCAAGACATTTTTACCTATACGAATAAATAAAACTGAATTCCTTACTTATGTGTTACACATGTGGTATACACACATCGACGGTGATGGAGTTCACTATAGACGTGATACTGGCCTGACAAGAATTCGAACCTGGTCTCTAAGGTTAACTGGTATGTGTAAAAGATATCTGCCCTGTAGGGAATCTTGGATGTTATGTAAACATAACATGAGTAAATTCACAAAACAAAATTGGATAGGCTTATGTACATTTTCAAAATACTTAACTTTTATCGTTAAAATGTTCGAGATCAAAGCGCATTTTTATATTTTTCAAAAGAAATTTAAAACCCGTTCATGAAATTGAATCTCGTTGATAAATTCGTCGCATACAGGAAAAAAAAACAACAAAAAAAAACGAAAAAAAAAAAGAAAAAAAAAAAAACGAAAAAAAAAAAAAAACGAAAAAAAAAAACGAAAAAAATAAAACAACACCCAAGGGCTCTAACTCTCACCTTTAGCAGATTAATGGCGAGCTTCTTCATCCTTCAGGTGTAGATAATCCCTGTTTAGCTGCCAGCTGTGTCTACAACATCCCAGCTGCGGGCAACACCGCCCAGCTGTAGCCGGTGTTCACGTTAATTGACATGCCGTGTAGAATCCTCACACAACATTTAGAAAAACCTTCACTCGAGAGTTGTGTGAATTTCCAGGGCAGAGTTCGGAGTTCACTCCCCTTCTCAATTCTCTCCCCTTTGTATACAGTTTGTGTTCAAGTTTTCGTTGATGTTATAAATTATGCAGTCAATGTTTCGTTAAAAGTAAAGTTCGCGTTTTATGTTGCAAACGAATAGACTATGCAAAGATTTATTACATTAGAGAATATTCTTCAGTAAAATTATGTTTTTTCTTTCAAAACTGCAAAGCATCTTTCAAAGATATAGATCTAGATGTGTAAACAATTATTAGCTTCGGAAAACGTTTAAAACTTTTTGTACGAGTTATGGAGGAGATAACGTTAGTAAAATAGTCTATATAATACGATATTCTTTATGTGGGTGAATACGAACAACGTATAAGAGACTTATAGAATTAGAATATTATATCAGTGCGGTATAATCAGGTATCTGAGTAGGATAAAAGCTAACATAACTGGCTTGAAGCTGATTTGTTTAGTCTATACCACATGTTAGGTGTATCACATAGCTTAATTCTTTCTTGATATTCTTCGATGCTAGACATACATGTACAGTTTGGTCGGATATAACATTTATGTTTGTGTAAGGAGTCAGCTTAATGACGATAAATACTGTATTGCAAAAGTTTAAGTAAGTCTAAATCTACAGAAATTCAATGAAGTATTTACTTGACGTGGGTAATTAACGTTGAAAATAATCGCATTTTTACTTCGGTAGTTAAGTTCTATACAAGCAGTAAAATGAATTAATGAATGCAATAAAATATAATTTGACTTGGTTTAATGTTATACTAAACTTCGGCACATGCAGGCAACAGAAACACAACCGTGCACACACAAACGATCACTCACTTATTCACGCGCTAACACACACACACGAACGCACGCACGGACACACACACACAGAAACACACACACACAAATACACACACACTCACCACTCTCTCTCTCTGTCTCACACACACACACATAAAAGCACAAACACCAACTGAAAATAATAGAAATACATTCCCCCGCGTTCTGATTACGTCATATGTTTGACCTACTTTTCAACAAAGCGAAAAATTTAGAACAAACGCATCCGTTTTTTTTTTCCTCTCCTCACGTTAGATAACCACACGGTCACAATCCTGTTTGAATCCTGCGGTGCCAGACCCCGGATGGTGTATCCTGCTGCAGACGGCAACACCCGAGGTACCACCAGCACGGGGACCAGGGTACACCAACATACGGACGGACGGGAGGGGAGATGTTTTCACGGCTGGTAACTCTGCCAGTCACAGGGGCACTTCAAAGCAGGTGACTTATGATCTCTCGTGGTGGTTTATGTACGGGGTGGGGGGTGGAGGGGGGGGGGGGAGGGGGTACGAGGGGCGATGATAATTGGGAGATGATGTAAGAGGATGATAGGGGGGATTTGAATGATGTGGTCGAGGCTAGGTATCTCGCTGTCTCTATCTATCTCTATCTCTCTTTATTAATCTCTCTCTCTGTCTCTCTCTCTCTCTATATATATAAATATATAAATATATATATAAATACCTATATATATATATAAATATATATATATATATATATATATATATATATATATATATATATATATATATATATATATATATATATATATATATATATATATATATAATCCACACATATAAGTATGTGTATGTTTAGGTTCGTATGTATTTACAAGAAACATAGCTGATGAGAAAGAATAAGTGGTAAAGACAGTTATTCCGAAATTTAAATTCCGCTTCGTATATTGGGTGGTGGGTTTCCTGGCATTTTTATGATGATAGAATGATAATTATAGTGTGAGTAAAATGGCCCATCACACACGTTTCCTCTGAGATGTAAATGTACTCATATTTAAATCAAAACCACAAGTTTTGAAGTGAAAACATAAAACGACTACCCACACATTTGACGAAGAAAAGTTTTGAGAATAGCCCCTTTCAACTTATTCCAACACCGGAATCTTAAAAGCCGTTGGGGTTCAGCACCTCTCTGAAGATTCCAGTTTTTAATTAGGACGAGGTCAGGGTTCACCAAACGGGGTCAGGGTTCACAGAACCAGGTTAAAGAGCACGTGCCGTTTGAGGCTTCAGTTAGAGCGTGAGTACGGTAGGAGAAGAGAACTGGCATCTGCTCAACAAAAGATGACACGGAGAAACTATTAGAGCCCTACCGGTGGGGGGGGGGGGGGGGGGGGGAGGGTGTGAATGGGGGTTGTGGGGAAGGGGGGGTGAATGTTGTGTATATACTCGTGTGTTTTGGAAAATAATATTTTATTTGATTGTGGTAGGGCAGTAGAGTTTGGGATCTATGTTAAAGGCTTTGGGTATGAGTCCGAGTCAAGTTTTGGTATAAATGAGAATCACCATATTTTCCAGTTGGTGCACAAGATACATGGGGCAGATGAAGCAGAGTTAATCTATTTCAGAGACGTCGGCTTAGGAAGGGATAGTGTGGTCATCACTAGGATATAGCAGCACAGGAACTCTGGGATATAGCAGCACAGTAACTGGTATAGCAGTAGATGAACGCTGGGATAAAGCGGTACAGTAGCTCTGGGATATAGAAGTACATGTACTCTGGAATATAGAGGCGAATGAAGGCTGGGATATAATGGCCGCTGGGATATAGCAGTACAGAACTCTGTGATTTTAGCGGTACAGGAACTGGGACATAACAGTACAGGAATTGATATAGCAGTAGATGAACACTGGAATATAGCAGTACTGAAAGTCTGGGATATAACAGTACAGGAACTCTGGGATATAGCAGTGTAAGAACTCTGGGATATAGCAGTGCAAGAACTCTGGGATATAACAGTATAAGAACTCTGGGATATAGCGGTACAGGAACTCTGGGATATAGCAGTACAGGAACTGGGATATAGCGGCCGCTGGGATATAGCGGTACAGGAACTCTGGGATATAGCGGTACAGGAACTCTGGGATATAGCGGTACAGGAACTCTGGGATATAGCGATAAAGGAACTCTGGGATATAGCGGTACAGGAACTCTGGGATATAGCGGTACAGGAACTCTGGGATATAGCGGTACAGGAACTCTGGGATATAGCGGTACAGGAACTCTGGGATATAGCGGTACAGGAACTGGGATTATAGCAGTACAGGAACTGGGATATAGCGGCCGCTGAGATATAGAAGTACAGGAACTGGGATATAGCGGTACAGGAACTCTGGGATATAGCGGTACAGGAACTGGGATATAGCGGCCGCTGGGATATAGCAGTACAGGAACTGGGATATAGCGGCCGCTGGGATATAGCGGTACAGGAACTCTGTGATATAGCGGTACAGGAACTGGGATTATAGCAGTACAGGAACTGGGATATAGCGGCCGCTGAGATATAGAAGTACAGGAACTGGGATATAGCGGCCGCTGAGATATAGAAGTACAGGAACTGGGATATAGCGGCCGCTGAGATATAGAAGTACAGGAACTGGGATATAGCGGTACAGGAACTGGGATATAGCGGTACAGGAACTGGGATATAGCGGTACAGAAACTCTGGGATATAGAAGTACAGGAACTCTGGGATATAGCGGCCGCTGGGATATAGTGGTACAGGAACTCTGGGATATAGCGGGCGCTGGGATATAGCGGTACAGGAACTCTGGGATATAGCGGTACAGGAACTGGGATATAGCGGCCGCTGGGATATAGCAGTACAGGAACGCTGGGATATAGCGGTACACGCACCGGGATATAGCGGTACAGGAACTCTGGGATATAGCGGTACAGGAACTGGGATATAACGGCCGCTGGGATATAGCAACACAGGAACTCTGGGATATAGCGGCCGCTGGGATATAGCGGTACAGGAACTCTGGGATATAGCGGTACAGGAACCGGGATATAGCGGTACAGGAACTCTGGGATATAGCGGTACAGGAACTGGGATATAACGGCCGCTGGGATATAGCAACACAGGAACTCTGGGATATAGCGGCCGCTGGGATATAGCGGTATAGGAACTCTGGGATATAGCGGCGTAATTATCTCTGAAGTTGACAAGTGGGGCTGATAGCGCGCGCAGACCGGCGACCAAAATAGAAACGCAGAAATTAAAAACTTTGTTTAAAGGGAGATAAATATAGTAGTTTTGTTTGGAGTTTAGGAAAAACATTTCCCAAGTTTGTCGAGATGCCTGGTTTAACAGTGGTAAATGGCCGTAGACTTGAATAATTTTTCATCAAAGTCAGATTTGGTGATTATCGTACGTTTGAAAATGATGATTTTGTTTAGTTTTATGTTTTCGAAGATGCGACGATGGGCTTAAAGAGACAAACTGGATCAGTAGGGGGAGGTTGAGCCCGAAGTAGAAGCTAATTCGGACGTCTGGACTCAGAGGCGTAGCGAGGGGAGGGGGGGGGGGGGCGGGTGGGGGGAGACATATGTCCGCGGGCGCCGACCTTAGAGGGGGGGGGGCGCCAAATTGAAAGTTTGAGAGGGGGGTGCAAATGAAAAGTTTGAGGGGGGGGGGGTGCAAATCGAGATTTTGTCCTCGGGCGCCGGGAAGGGTCGCCTCTGTCTGGACTTCAACCCCCCGGGCATATGAGGCCCGATAACTGACGACAGTCACTCATATAAGTGATAAATCAACCAAATCAAACAACAGCTGCCTTTTAGTTTAATCTTGGATGGACAACGGCTGTGGAAGCAAATCTAGAAAGAAAAGCAGGCTTTATAAATGTGTTGACACATGATACTTAATTATGTTGGGAAAAACTTTACCATTGTGAACGAAGAAAAAACAAAGTGCTAGTTAAAAGCCTTTTGTAGGTATAATTTCAGTAATGTTGTCTGCCAATAAAGAGTTTTTTTTTTTTTTTTTTTTTACATATTTTCACAAAATGTCTTTGGTCTGCCATGAAAGAAAGTTGAAGGTATACAAGCAATTAACATAAGTCTCAGCCCCCAACTACGCATCAACCGTATGCTTATCGCAGAGTTTTAGAAGTTTAAAAAAAAACACACTCGGAGCGTTAGTCATTTCCGTTATTAGTCATACACCGTTTCCAGAGTGCCAGGTGAGCAGGCTGGTCACGGTAGTGGTGCCTGATTTTTGAGGATGTTGGGACCAGGCATGTTGTAGGTGCTAGAACTACAGGTAGGTTAAAACCCCGTTACGGTGTGCAGGCTTCATCAGTTAATTAATTGACAGATGCTGGGGGCAATGGAGCAGAGAAGTTCATCCTCTATACTTAAAAACA